GGGGGGGGGGGGGGGGGGGGGGGGGGGGGGGGGGGAAGAAGGGTACTACCACCCCAACTTAGTCCATTCTATATATCCGTGAAAAAGTTAACAAATTTGTACAAAGTTTTGTAGGTCTAGAGTCTACTTAACTTACAAACTTGTGCAATTTCTTACGAAGTTCTTCACGGATATATGGTATGCACTCTGCTGGCTCCACGCTTATGAATGTCGTGACCACTGCTGCTCTTGTAGAGTAGTTTAGAGGACGATTTCATGTAAAGTCATTTGAAGGCTGGGGGTAACATTTTAACTTTCTTTCATTCTGCTGCCAAACTTAAGTCTTGCAAATGTGGTATGGCTTTGAGGCCAGGCAAAGCCGGGTTTGACTTTTGTTTGCGTCAAGAGTCTCTTCCCGCCATCTTTAAACTAGCAACCTGCCTAGCAACTCTCAATTGCATTTGAAGCTCCTCAAGTTTATTTGGGCTTCCTGTGGTGCATGAAAAATTATTGCAATGGCTCCCAGCTTATCCGTATGTTTATCGCGTGATAGAGGTAGCCACCCTTTATTTACAAGCTGCAAATGTTGACTATTTCGTTTTGCTACTGGTTCATATCCGTACTAAGCAACCAGACCTGCGCTTTTGCACTTTGACCTTATTTGGCTTTATCATACACTACGAAGAGTGGCTGTCGAGATCTCAACCGCGTGCATTGTACGCCCTTATTTAACCATTCATACCCGTGTGCCTTTCTCTTTGGTGTTGTCTGAGTTCATTATCTTCTTGTAGTCCAAAAAAAGCACCCAGCACCGAATCTTCAAAGTCTTCGATAATAAAAGGTGCTTTGGTGTTTTTCTTGGAACACGGTCGTGTTTTTCTCGGTGGAATTTTTTCCGTGTGAAGTATTTTCCCATGACTGCCGATGAACGATACCGTTAGGTGTCGAGGTGTTGCTTGAAGAAGCGTGAAACCACCGGTCTTGCCATTGAAAAACCTGGAGAAAAGTTAACTAATTAATTTATTGTTAAGAGTTTAAGACAATACATTGGTAGAGGCGTTACCATCGGCTTGAGCTCTGATTGGATGAACAGAGACCGTGCCGTAACTGGTTAAAAAAAACGGCATTTTTCTCGATTATAGTCTCGGAGTCTGCGTTGCTCATGGTCAGCATTATAGTCCCCAGAATCCCCCGAGGCTTTTTGGTGAGCGGGTTGACGCTGACAAGGAAGCAGAATGATGCTATGGGAATCTGGGTACGAGATTTTGCACGCATGCTCTGGGATAGAGATTGCTGACCATGAAAAACGCAAGGCTTTGACTACGGGATTACCGATATGGTGGTTTACTTAGAGTTTTCGCATGCGCACTTATTACTTATTTTATAGCCCTGTAATAGTTCGTTAACATGATGGCGTCGTTTTACTACCACTACCAAATTGCTTCGCGAATTTTCATTCTTATTCAAATTTGCATTTCCTTTTGAGAATAGTAAGACAATTGGTGACAATTAACTGAACGAAAGGAAGTGTGCAAGGGAGTCTGGTAGTGGTAGTAAATGATGCTATAATGCAAGTGACCTATTCTTGCACGTTACGTCATCGCGGCCATGTTGGTACCATTTAACAAAAGATTTCCCATTAGCATCCATTGTTAACGGTACCACAATGGCCGCCATGTTTTTGTCTTTTAACTCTCTTGGGAATGCTTGCAACTCATCAATTGAGAGGGTCCTGTAGATTCTCCCGTTCAAGGTGTGTCCTCTAATTACTTACCTAAGCGAGTTTAACGGTACTTTGTGTTTGTTGTATTGTAATTGATTATGGTTCGATGCGCTACCACTCACTAAATAATGTACATTAGAGTACAAAGGTTTGAAGTGCTAAAAAAACAAACACAATATTATGAAAATAGATTTGTACACAGGTAGCCCAATCCAATATGCCAGTCCGTGGGAACACAGATCATGACAATCTCTAAAGGCTGACATCCTAAAAAAAAAACGCGCTCAATAAAGGCATGTGGCTACTGCTATAAGAAAATGACTGTGATAGAAGAAAAAATATTAACCTAGATATCTAATGGGAAATGGTTGATCTGGGAGTTCGTCAAATTGCAAACGCTGGGCTTCCTGTGGTGTTACGGCATCTCTACGAGGCCGTGGCCACAAAAATACAACTGAGTTGAGGTAAATTTAACCACAAGTAGCCCAAGGACGAAACTGACTCTAAGCTTCAGTTGTTTTATAATAAATGGTTATAATAAATAATGGTAATAAATCAGTACAGTAAGAATGTAAATTAGGTGGAACCCACCTGCATGTTGTGATCATGGCCGCTCAAGTACGCTGTGACGTCATACTTTTCTAGCAGAGGCCTTAGTTTGTCATTCAAGCAAACGTTTGAGCCGTGCATTCCAATGGAGTATACAGGATGGTGGCCCGCCACCACTAGATAATCAGCTCTAGATCAAGACAAGCAATCTTAATTTCAGATTAGAAAACTTACGATTCACCATACATAGGTTCACTGGTCTAACACGAAGCATTCAGTAGAGGCTTTAAGGTAATTTCAAAGGATTATTCAAACTTGAACCTTGTAGCCTCGGTTGAATGCTTTGTGTTTGACCAGTGAACCGATGTATGGAAAATGGTGAATGCTGATTTACGGTATGCCGACAGTGAAATGGGTCCCTTTGTTACAGCACGTACACGGTACGGTATGCTGTAACAGCGAAATGGTGCATTTAGGTATACTTTGAGTATAAACAACACCATATAAGGTATTATGAACCAAATATGTTTGTACCCAAGCTAGGCCAGAATGCACCACGTTGGCGTTATCTCACAAAAGGTCTATCATGATAACATCATTTTACTTACTCGGAGTTTCTTAGTATTTCATTGAGCCACCGATACTGTTCTCTCTTGCCAGGATATATCCCTCCGCTGTAAATGTCACAAAACCACATCACGTTTACATTTGAGGTTTAGATTTTCTCGTTACGAGTAGCCAGTGAAGAGGCTTTTAGAGATGAGAAGGTGAAATGAGGGGCAATCACTAGAATAGGGGGAAGGTTCCTCCACTCCTCCGTGTAGTACGTGTTTATTGACTTCCAGGAAAAATAGAGATTTCTATTTGCAAGATCCTGAAATTATATAAATTCGCTTCTTGGAGTGGATGAAAGCTCATTCAGCTCTAAGTACATATTATTCTTACCCTTTATAGCACAGTAATGTTGTATCTATCGTCACTATCTGAACTGTCTTACAAGTCCCTCCGATTCTATGAACTGAAAAATGTTACGGAAAGCGCGTTAATCTAGAAAAAACGTATAAATATAAGGCTGATAGAGGTGTGAGTCCCAGGTACGAGGTTGTAGCATCATTTGATCCGAACCCAAACCAAACACCAGTTTATCTATAACCTGAATCAACCTCTGGGCTGATCTTAGTTACGGCACGGCTAACTCACAGATTGAGCCCTGAAACAACCTCTTGGCAGAACTAAGCCAGCCTTGATTCGGCCTAAGACAGCACACGCCACTCAAAGCCTCTTACTGACTAGTAAATCCAGAAGGCGCTTAAGACAGAGATTTTGAATTTTGCTTTGACTTTGAATACCTGTGGTGTAATAGAAATCAGGAAAATGCCATCTCCTGGAGACTTTGGTGTAAGCTATCTGTGCTGATACATTCCCCAAGTAGTCATGGTTACCAGCCAGCATGTACCACTTGGTTCTGTGGAGGGAGGGCGCACGGAAAATATTCTCAAACGTCGCATTGAATCGAAAATCATGGACGTCCTTCACGCCCTTCCAGTAGAAGTTGTCGCCAAGACCGATGACAAACTTGGCGTGTGTCTTCTTGGCCGTCTGTGGGGGGAGGGGAGAGTGATATTAGTACTGATTATTGTCTGTGGGAGAGGCTGAGGGTCATCATGATCCATTCTCACAGTGCCACAAGTCGCATAAGGAGGGGGGAGCGGGTGATAATAGTATTGGCCTCATTCTTTCCCCATGAATATAATAAATTAACGATGTTAGCTAATTTGTAACACCGTATGGTATGTAAAAATCATTTTTACATACCATGCGGTGTTACAAATTATCTATCTATCAACTGTTTTACTGAAAACACCGACGCAGTTTACACTAGTTTTCACTAGTTTTCCACCTTAACGATGTTAGCACTTAGTGGTTCACAAACCTGTGACCCTCATTCCATCGTGTCAGAATCTCTAAGAGTTGATTTTTGTCGGGGAGGACTGAAAACGGGGGAACCCAGAGAAAAACCTTTGAAAGCACTGGGCAGCTGTATTCACTTGTGCGCATATCTCGGATAGCAGGTCCGGGTACCGAAAAAACCAATAACCATCGGTACCAATCCTGCAAATTTAGTATGCCAAGAACATTCCGCAATCATGTGGGCGTGTTCTTCCCGGTCTGGTTCACGCATCGTTTGTCTTCGACTGGATTCTTTATCATTTGACCAAGCCGGGTGATGTCTCGATCCACTATACTATCAATGAACCACAATAATATAACTGAATCGAAACAACTTACAGTAAAGAGATCTAATCCCAGAATAATTTGAACTGGGAAAATTTTAGAGACCAACGAGTTCCAAAAAATGCTTCTGTAGACAATGCGTACTAGATCGAAAGTAACTTGGGTTGTTCGTAAAACTAACCTCTTACAACATAAGAAACGAAAGCCGGTGTTTACAATCCTAAAATCTAAACAGCTTATAAAATAACTATTAAGAAATCAAAACAAATGAGCTCATTGACTTCATTTGTAACGTTTGGCGCTGAATTTTTTCCCAAGGTTCTAGTCGCGAATCGAATTTGAAGACTCTGAAGCAAGAAACGTTCACTGCGTAATGTAATAAAACTCTCGTTACATTTATTGCGAAGAAATTAGATTCAGTAGAAGGACCTTTACAGAAAGCAGTAAAAGAATTTATTTGCAGTGGCTTATGAAGTGGTTGACGGATTTCCCTCAGGATTAGACTAAAGGCCGTCTGGGGATGGTCAGGTTGTAAAGTCACTAATCTCGTCTAAGGTCAGATTTTTAATGAATCACTTCTGGGACCAGTAACTATGAGACCAAGACAGCTTGTGGCAGCAAAGATTGCACGAGTTCGAATTCCTGACATTATTCAACACGACCATGCTGATAAGCATAATATAAAGCTGGAATTATATATACACTTTTTATCGGCTTAAGGGGGAAAAAATAAAAAAAATTGAATTACGAAAAATATATTCTGTTTTCTATTTTATTTTTTCCCACAAGTCGTCGCCAAAATTCATGAGCAAATAGGAGTCTTTATTCCAAGTTTGACTCCATATTTTGAACTCAATGAAGACGAAAACCCGTAAGTTGAAAATAAGTAGTAGCAATTCTTACCTTTCCCATTTGTTTAGCAACGTTTTCTAGGTTTTTAGTGTAGTATGGAGCGTAGTTAAACCCACCAGCATCTCCCACAGCAAGGAACGACAACTTCCCATCTTCCTCGGAGTCCTTTCTTTGACCAACACAGCAATAAGCCAAAGAAATCAAAACCACGAGAAGAAGAGGGATAAAACTGTCCATCTAGACCCAGCCATACAGACTGTCGCTTCCAGTAGCCAAGATAACGAGGAAGAAAACACGGATATCCAAGGCTATTTTTGGCGCTTGGGTGCGAGGATGTTGTGCGCGTGCGTGTTGCTGTCAGCAATCGATATAGTCAGTGACCAGTTTTATTATAACATCCACAAGCAAGATGAGCTGTCAAATAACGGGTGGCTTTATTCAACATCGCAGACCCAACTTGTAATGCAATTATTGCTTGAGGAACGTAAACTGGCTGAAAAACGCGAATAGTTTTATACGATTTTCTTTCATTTTAATTCAGAATTTGACTAATTTATTCATGGTATTTTTCCATAGTACTGCGTAGAAAAGAAAAGGAAAGGAAATGAAGAGAAAAGAAAAAGAAAAACCAGAACATAGAGAATATATTCTCTTGCCAGAAATCATAGAATTTAAAGAGAGAGAGAAAAATACAGGAGTTACAGAAATTTCAAAATCTAGTTTTAGACACACTTTTTTGGATCAAAATTAAATAATTCGTATTAATTGGAATATTTGTTCCACGTCGTTTAACGAATGAGGCGGTCCTACCACCTGATAGAAGAATTAAATTCCAATTACTTCAACAGTTTTGTAAATTTTACTTTATTCACGGCAAACTCTTCATCTTAACTCCTGTACTGCGCGGTTCAGAGCTAGGAAATATGGAATAACTAGCTGTAAATAGCTGTATAAACGCGAAAAAAATATAAAAGGACAAGACTGCAAAAATAAAGATAAATTCACTTACTTAGGGGTATGTAAAGTGTTGAATGATGCGTGCAACAAAAAGATGCGTGCATTTACAGTGCGACTACACCAGGCCACCCAGATAAAATTTCATATAAATTAGCTAATCGCGATTGATTGTTTAAACAATACACTCTGCACAAAATTTCCTATTTTTCCCTTTGAAAGCATATATTTACTTTATGCAAGTGTGTGTATGATCAGGAGTGAACAAGAAACAGTCAAAATTTTGACTTGTGAATTTGACTTTGTAGGCGCACTGTTGCGCACTGTTCCTCTCTCTTCTTCTTCTCGTATTACGCTATTCTTCCGTGAATTTACCACCATATTCACAATTGCTTTTAGAGACAAAACTTTGTCGCTCAACGTTTCGACATTATTCAGTAAAGTATACTGTATGCTGATGCTACTAGTGAGGTGCAACGGTTCAGCACTCGATGTCTGGAAGTATGGTCCTTTTTTAATGAATCAAGAAGTAGAAATCCCAAAATCATGTTTCCATAGCAAATAAACTAGTTTTGCGCGCAATCAGTAAAAGTCTGCGTTTGGTTGCCAGGCAACGAATGAAAATTCCCGCGTTTTTTTAAACATGAACGCACGCGCGCGCTATGCGAATCAAAACATTAACCAACGTGTCCAGCTTGCCACACCTTCGTTTCTCTACAAACATGGACGAAAACCAAAACAAACGATTCTTAGGAGAATGGACTATTAAATACAACAAAGTCTTAATCCACGAATTTCGCTACAAGGAGAAAAACCGCATTGGAATCCAGATAGACTACAAACCGTCAAACCCAAATGACCCCACGAAACTTTTCGGATATCTTACTGTGGATTACATCAAGTCGCGCTTAGAACCGGGGGAATTCGTGGTTAATAACTACGATGAGATGAAGAATACCTGGAGAGAACTAAGGGGTTTTCCGGAATTTCAAGAGACGAGAAAGAAAGCGCTTTATCGAGAATCACCTGGAAAGCAACTGCGTATTTACCCGATATGGAGACTCACTGAATACGACTGCAAGGATGAGAAAGACGAAGATCTACCTCTACCGAAGGATAAAGGCTTGGATACGACTTGTGTTGCTGAGTGTACTTTCAAGGAGATCAAAGATATGGTCAAACAAGTGCCAACGAATAAAAATATCGCGGATTTGTTGATTGTACTACGACGGTTTGATGACTACTTAACTAGAGATGTTATCGGTTCGGTTGACAGAGAAAATACGTAAAAGAAAACTGACTTTGAAATTTTCTTCAAGTTTGTTTAGCTGTTGATTTTACGAATAAAATTGGACGTAAAAAAATACTTCTTTCCTTTCCTTCTTTTATTCGGCAATCATTATCTTGTTAAGAAAAAAGAAAATATATTTTCTTGTGAATTTTCATCAACTCTGTCTAGAGTTTTATATGGTTTGGGTGAACTTTTTAATTCTAACTCAGTTACATTATCATTATCATGGTTTTACTATTTTCATCCAGTTTGGAAGATTTCGTGGCGAACAAGCAAAACCGTATATAAACTCAGAAATGCTCCGCTTCCCGAAAATCTGGATATCCGGAAAAGGAAGGGCGAAAATGTTTTCAAAAAATTGTTTTTTAAATTTTTTTCGCCTTAATTTTTCGTCAAAATCCATAATGGTTTGTGTGCCCCATAAAATGTCTATATTATATTACGATTTACCCTCATTCTAGCCACTCTAACATCAATTTTTCTGACTTTTTTCCCCATTAATCCTTCTTTTGTTCTTCACCTTCAGTATTAGACTGCTCTACTTCTTTTCCTTCAGTCGTTTCTTCTGGTGGTTTTACCACGTCTGGTTCTGCTTTGCTCTGTGTCGCTACTTCTGTACTTTCGGATGTTTTCCCACTTTCTTCTTTGGCACTTGTTGCAGAAACTTCTTCTATTTCCTCACTTTTTCCTTAAAAAATTAAATGGTCAAAACCGATGTGGTTTTCAAATGGCTTCCGCATTCCAGCATTGTGAATGGATAGTGGGGTTTCTCCTACTGCCTATAGAATGGATTTTTTATGAATGGGAAACGATACGGCAAATTCGTAGCCGTACGCCGTACCGTATCGTAACTACGGTGTTGTGGTGGCATGTTTTACTGGAAGTATGAGAATGAGAAGCCATTTCAATGTTACGGCATGTTTCACACTCATACGAAAACCGCTTTCTCGTAGCCGTAACGATAGCAAAAGAGTCCTCTCCTCTCTATGATTTACTGGAAGTATGAGAATGGGAAGCCATTTCATTGTTACCGTAACAACAGAAAAAGAGTCCTTTCCTCTCTTGTTACGGCATATTTCGCACTCTTGCCAAAACCACTCTATCGTAGCCGTAACGACAGAAAAAGAGACCTCTCCTGGAATCATGAAGCGTTGTAAAAATAGGAAAAGCGTTCGAAAGGATAAAAGTAAAAATTGGAGCTGTTTTCGTATGAGTTGGAACGTTTTTACGGCATCTCCAACCGGGAAAAGTCGAGACGCGAAAAAGCTGAGTGTGTCTTACCTTGGGATTTGGTTTCAGTTTGTTTGGTTTTTGATTTGGATTTTGGCGATTTTCGTTTGTGTTTTGGTCTGTCGGGTGCTTTACTCGGGATGGACGGGTCTCCCTGGTCCTGTAGACAGCAAAAAAAATACCAGTTAGACATCGCTCAAAACAAAGCGAATCGAAGGTAAAGTTTTATTTTTGGGTAGATTTGAGGTGAGAAGAGGGTGGGGTGGGGTCTGTCCGTTGGAGAAGTCGATGATATCAACTTTATTGCTGTTTTCATAGTTGTCAACTTGGTTGAATTTAACGAAAGGTTTGTCACTAGTCAACCAACATGGTGTCGGCCATATTTTTTTTTCTTTTGCTATTGTATTTCATTTTCTTGTGAATGATTACAAACCACCTTTATAAAATAACTTTTCTAAATCTCGCGTTCTGATTGGTTGGGAGCGCGTGCTTTATGAGAGCACACAGCACACTTCAGTTTCGTTATTCATGTTATAATTGTATTTTATAAAAGAGATAAAAAACTTGCTTGCTGTGCTGTGTGGAGTTATAAAGCACTTGGGGATTGGCACAACACTCGAGAAGCACTTCACTTTGCGTCGTGCTTCTCCTAAAACTTCTCTCATGTTCTGCCAATCCCCGCATGCTTTATAACTGCACACAGCATGCACATGCGTTTTCTATTTCTTTATTAACACACCAGACACAATCACTGATCAAAACAAGGGCTATTTACAACATGTTTCTCACTGGGGTATAACTTTGGTACAAAGACTTCTATTGTTTCTCATGCCTGATATGGTGTGTTTGCACCCAAGCTAGACCAGAATACCTTTTGCTTATTTAACTTAGACAAGAACTCTAACAGCATTTAGGAAGGTGTTCTATACAGTCATTATGAGTTTACGGCAGATAGTCGTTTAATACCTGAAGGTTGGGGCCAAGGAAGTCATCAAGCTGCTTCTCCAGGTCATAGTCTTCTAGCTTGATATCAGCCAGAGATTCTTCTGGTTCAGAGGAGTGAGACACATGTTCTGAAATATCAGAGAAAGTTGTCAAGATTGTACGGGTGCTGGAAACATTTTTGCGAGTTGTATTGTTTTGGAAGCATTTGTGAATACTTGTGGGGTTTTCTTGATGATTTAGGAGAGGAGAGGAGAGGAGAGGAGAGGTTTGAAATAGAGGAGAGGAGAGGAGAGAGGAGTCAAAACTTATTGATACCCTAGCACAACCTCCAAGTTAAACTTAACATCTTAGGTTTAAGGTTACAAATTTAAATTATCTTTAGCCTGAGAAAACAGATGAACCCGGGAGAACACAGAGAAAAACCCTTAAATGAAGGGAGAGGCCCAAAAAACTCTACTGAAAATGTGATGCTGAGCCCAGGAATCAAACTGAAGATCCCAGAAGTGAGAGGCAAGTGCATTTACTGCCAAACCACCCTTGATTGAGTGTAAAGATGTCAAGAGTTCTCACCATCAGTCTTGCCAAACTGAATGTAGTAGTTCATTTGTTCAATGAAGGCATCTTCGTAGACCTTTTGTCTCTCTATAGATTCTTGTCTTTCTAACTTCTCTTTCTTTTGGCTGTTGATCTGATGTTGAAGCTGAAGATCCTCTGGAAAAGGCAAATATAGATATTGAAAATATGGTTCTCGACTGAAAAGTGGTTTTCACCTGCCTTACAAAACCATATGTTCATTGCAAAGTAATGGATGCAAAAGCGAAATGCTAAGTATTAGACATTAACTGACCTTTTAACTTTTCAAGATCATCCCTAAATCAAAATACAAAAAGAAATACACTTTGTCATCTTAGTGCAGTTTTCGTATGACTTTGAAAAGCTCACTGCACGAACACAGTCATGGTACGACAAGGGATATGCCAGACCAATCACATTGTGCAATAATTTACTCTTCATCCAATTAAATGCCCGAAACACGGCATAAATACGGCGCGGACACAGTCACGCCAAGGTCACGGCACTGCCAGACCAATCACATTGCACGAGAAAAAATTAGCCAATTAAAATTCTAGAACACATCACGGACACGGCACGGCATGCATATGGCACTGAGCTTTTCACAGTCATACGAAAACTGCTCTAAATTAAATTTTTATTTTAATTCGTAAGGAAGTATAAAAGGCAATTATAAATGGATTGTTCATTTAGCTTTCAAAAAAGGTATTTCTTTTATAGCAAAATATTGTAAAATCTGTGAAAACTTAGAGTTAGCACATATAGGTCTATAGGGGACAAAATTCCTTTCTGATACCTTAAATGTAAGTTATATGTTTATTAGTTTTTTAATTTCATACATGTGAGAATAGGAGTAAAGAGAATGAGAAAGAAATACTTACAGTTTACTTTGATGAAACATGACTACTTTCAATCTGTGGCTGTTCTTGTGTCTCTCTATGTCTAGTTTTTCACAAACTTCTTCAAGATCCATCAATAGATCTTCTAACTCTTCTGATTGAGTTCCAATAGCAGCTATGAATCAAAGTGAACTGTTTTATTAGCGTGTAGCTCAATACTAAAGAAAATCATGTTGTTATAAATATCATACTCTAGTTGGATTAGCTCCCTGCATAAATAAAATCTTAAATCTCTATTAATACCCTGAAACAACCTCAGAGCAAAGTCAGGGGAATTTAACTTGTTGGATTTTGCAGAGGGAGGGAAGACAACTGAGGAAGCAGGAGAAAAACCCTTGAATCAAGGGAGAAACCCAACAAACTCTACTAATATGTGATGCCGTCCAGAAATTGAACTCGTAGCCTCAGAGATGAGAGGCAAGTGAACTTGTGCTACACCATCCTCATTCCCTTGAATTAGCCCCCCCCCCCTTCCTCCCACACACACACACACACACACATGCATTAACCACTCATTATAATCATGCCAGTTGTCTTTCCTACTCACCAATAGTTTCAGTAGCTGACTGAATATTCTGGATGACTTCTGGTAGTTTGTCTAACTCTCCATGGAATATGGTCATGGTGTTGCGCAGGTTGGTGCATTTCTTCAGTATGGAGTTTATGGTTTGATCTGCAGACTATGGGAAAGTGAATGTCAAAGTGAATGGAAAAGTGAATAATGGGAAAGTGAACAAGAATAAAACAGGGAGCAAATTATTTTTAAAATAATTCAAGTCAGGAAGAACCGGCACATGTTCAGAAAAGCCATAGACCTCTTTAACTTGAGCATAATGTTTCCCAATGAGAAAATGGGAAAGCCTTACCTCAAGGCAAAGAGGTCTATAGAATCTGCTGATATGGCTTTAAAATGTGATATGAATGGAAAATACAATAAAATAAACCAACCTCAGCTTCCTCTGCAGATGCTCTTGATTTCTCATGTATATCAGCCCAGTCCTTATGATATCTGCAATTCAAAATAAAAAAAATGGAGTCATATTATCTTGAAACAAAGAAATCTCCAATGTCCTGTTGTTTCTCGTGCTTGGCACCAACTTTTTGAGGTGCTCAGCAATAGGCTAGTAAGTTGTTAAATCCAGTAGCTTGGCAGAGTAATCTGCTAGCTGCCCAGATAATTAGTAATTTGAAAACCCCATTAGCCTATGTGAGCCCTAATTGTCCCTAGCCTGGCTCAAAGATTTACTAGTCCTACTGTAGACTAGTCGTATTGCCTTAGTGTCGAGCACTTTATCTTGAGGCAGTATCCCATGTACTTCAAATATGGTAACATAGTACAATATTTCACTTTCAACATCTTAATATCAATTGATGGTTTGCACAGCAGCCATGTTGGAGGAACTTAACAAAAGAATTGTCAATGAATTCTTTCGTTATATCCTCCAACATGGCCACCGCATCTTTTGTTATTTAATTCTCTTGGGAATAAATATCAACACCTATTTTGAACCTTATTTTTCCTGCTGCCCATAGGGTTCAAGATAATGGGACTCCACTGTACAATGGCCTCGATTAAGAAACCATGTGGGCAATATTTTACCTCATTAGGGTGAACAAGCAAATCTATAGTCAAAGACCTATTTTGATAATAATTCAGCCTCTCACTACTAAAAAGAGGAAGTCTTTAAGATTCACTGAAAACTTCAATACTATAAGACTCTTTGAATTCAAATAAATTGTTTGATATAAGACCCTGAGTTATTTTTTTAAATTTTGAATGATCATATATCACCCTTTCCTGAATTATACCCTAACAGTCCAATGAGTGCATGGAATTCATTCCGAGAATTCCAGACCAAAAGGTAAAGAAAATAAATAAAGTAAATAGTCATACTCACTTTTCAAGGATTTCTGAGCCTGCCTCCAGATCACAATTAAAACACTGGTCTTGACTAGAAAAGTAAAAGATAAAAGGAACAATGAATTAATTTATCCTTTTAACAAAATTAATATAACCAAGGACAATTCATTTATTAAGCTAGTTTGAAGAAAGCCCTGAGTATCGAAAAAGCTGTTTGAGTATTAAAAGTAAATAAACATGAATAAACATGAATTAAGGACAATGAGTCTATCCTACCCTTCAGTGTATTCCTCTGTTATGAAAGTAGTTTTCCTTTGGAGAAAAAGGGAAGATGAAAATGTGACTTCGAAGAAGACGAAAAAGTGTTTAAAGTTTTATCGTTCTTTACCTCGCTATCTTTTGGTTAACAGCCTTGGCTTTATCCGAGATAGACTTCCATCTGCAAAGAAAAATTAACTAAGTAAATCTCGGGTAAAAAGCTAACTCGTTGAACATATTTTCTGCTCACAACATTCATGGCACATTCATTCCGACTTCTAAAACTTCAAGCTAATTTTTATTATTTACCCTTGGGTAACGTCATGTTTGACGCTTTCAAGGCGCTCCTTGAGACTTCCAAACATGTTATTGTGAGGATAATGAAATGTTTTAGTTAGATTTGTTAGTAATAATTAGCGATTAATGGCAATAATATTTTAACACCTCCAGCGCCTCCACTTTGTTTTGCTATTTTTGGTGGGAGAGCACCGCTGATCAGAGGCTTAACACAGGGTGCCCAACCGAGGAAACCTTTGTGCACTTTAATTTTATTATTTTTATTTTATTTTATCATATTACCATGAATTTAGCTTGATTTGTAGCTCAAGTGAAATATGACGAATATCATTGAAATTTCAAGTCTGTTTACGAATAGAAATGGAAATTTTGGCTTTTCCGATCTTTTCGGTGAAAGCGTTACTAAACAAGTCACGTTCATAAAATCACGCAACGCGTAATGAGTGGCAGGGATCAGCGGGGGATCAATATATGTATTCCAACATGGCTGCTGCCCTTCAGCAACTAGGCAGATGATCTTGGCAGATAATTTACGTTTCCTTCCGTTTTAACTCAACAACATTCTATACTTTAACCGGTACAGCACGTTTTACGAAGCTGACTCAAGACATTCACCGACACTCGTAGTACTCGTAGTCGTTTAGACTTTCTCGTTTATATAAGGAAATTCATCGAATTTTTCAAGACGGAAGAAGAAAGACAGGCGTTGTCGCTTGGTTGTTTATCTTAGGACTATTTTCAATAGTACTATAATATCCATAATGGGCGAAACCAGTCCAGAATCAATAATTATGACACTACTAGAACAAGTAAGATGCTTGGAAGATGAGCGCGACAAAGCACTGGAACTTGCCAAAAGTTTGAATGACAAACTTAAGTCAAAACTTGAAGGCGGAAATCAAAAGGAACGCCATTCAAAAAGCCCTGAAAAAAAATTAAAGTGCACATTAGAAACTCTCGCTACAGAGTTAGAAGAGATTCGCCTTAATGAAGAACAGAGACAGTTTAATTTAACGGAGTTGAATAAAGAGAAACGAGAAGAAGGAGGTTTTGCTGGTGAAAAAACAATGGTGGACATGTGCAAGGAATACTATGGGAAAATGGTCACCGACCTGCAACAAGATAGAAAAAGCCTACAGAACAAAGTGGAAGTGCTAGAAAATCAGCTGATAGAGAAAGACATGCAGATTGCTGAAATGAAACTCAGTATGGGGAAAAGAAGCTGAATTGATGAATTATTAGTACTTATGATTTTCCTAACTTTTATATTGCTTCAGTTCATTTAGATAGTCTCTTGTCCTGTGCCGTTAATGTGGTCAAGATGCTCTCTCGGCTCTTGATGGCTTATCCTTCCATAAGACTTACTTTATTGATATTTAGCAATTTATAGTCCTTGAGCCTATAAAGGGGCTATGAGTCAATGGCCCATGAGGTGGAAGGCAATGCTAGAGTTACTTAATGACTTCAACACTAGCTGCATAGTAGACTAGTGTATCTATATTAATTTGTCAAAAATGTATATATATCCGGCACCAAGAATATTTGTCAGCTCTTGCAGACCTAATTTGCACAATGGCAAAGGAAAAAATAATTCTAAGGGGCAGTTTACATGGAGAAAACTTGCCCCTGGTAGAAGGAATACCCTTTTCCCTGAGCTACCCTGGGCAAGCTAACTTTTCCCTATTTTCTTTGTAAATTCATCTTGATAGTTTACATGAGATATTTTACTTTGCCTTGGCTAAAAGGATCACCCTACTGCTGATAGGGTTACCTCATTGCAAAAGAGGGTGACCCTGGTACCAGGGACAACGTTTCTCCACGTAAATACTTTAACTCGCCTGACTGAGACAACTTTTTCATTTGAGCATGCATATCTCCATTGAAACCGATAGTTGTCCTGGGTTTTATATAGGGACAACTTCTTTCCATATAAATGCTCAATATAGTTGGCTCAAGTAGAAAGGTTTCCTTGCTTACCAGGGACAAGTTCTCTCCATGTAAATGGCCCCTAACTCTTTGACAATTGAATTTTTCATATTTATATATTATTAGGAAACACTACAATTTTTTATTCATTTGTTAATTATGCAACAAAATGTTAACAGAAATTTATTCAATTCAATTCATTCGGTAATGAGGAATTCTGTTTGAAATTAGGCACCCAAGTTTTCAATATGTGTAAAAGAAAATAAATAACAATACATATGTAGACTAGTAAGTTATGAATTTCATAGAGATTTGGTAGCATCATGGTGTATGGGTTAACCAAGTGCATCATAGGTTTCATTATAGGGACTTTAGGAAATTTTAAAAAAACTGTCATTGCTTATCACCACACCGCAAGCACAGCAGTGGCGCAGCTCAATGGGGTCAAACTGAAAGCATGTGAAGGCACCTCTGGCAGTCACTATACAGTCCATGTTTGACCCTGGAGCACAACTATGGGTTGGTTTTTAGATGAAGGTGGAAAAACCCTTGGAGTCAGAAAGAGAACCAACCAACTCAGCTCACATGGGGGCACTGCTAAACAGCGAAACACCGAAACGAAACACCGGAGCGAAACACCGGAACGAAACAGAGACAAATTCGTGATATTACAAATATCATGCAATAAAAAAATAAAAGAAAACAAAATACACGATAGTACAATGATATAAAAACGATAAAACTTAGCTTTATGCCCGTGCTTTATGATCTGTGATCCGTATCGATCGTTTATTACCTTTTATAAACAATGTCGTTTCGCTGTCTATCAATGCAATTCTTTCTTGAATTTGAAGGATTCCAATGGATCTTTTAATAAAACAAGCATTAGTCTTAACTGCTTCTGTCTCTAGTATCTACACCAAAAAAATTGTGAAAAAAAGCTAAAGCCCTCGGGCGACGCCATGTTTATTTAAACAAAAGCACAGGAAGCCCAGCTCTTGACAAAGGAGACCCAACATTTTGATAAAGGAATCTGTCATAAAATATCGTTTCCTAAACTGCAGGTGGTGATTATTAGTGTTTTAAATAATGATAGACAAGAAGATSGAAAGCTTAAGGTTGTTTTCGCAAGTTACCATTACCTATAGCGACTCTGTACAATGCTAATAAAAAAATGCTTATTGTAGTACTGTATCAGATTAGTAAGTAAAACGAAGTATATACGATCAATGATCGGCGTTATTTTGGGGCTCAGGGATCACATTTTAGCTAATTTTGGGCTTGGAGATCCGAGCTTYATTGTCTAAAAAGGATCATGTACAAAACTTTTCGGATTTTTTAGGGATTAGAGCTGTGCCTTTTTAGGCCCCGAAATTGTTGGGTTCCTTTGAGGCTTCCTGTGCTTTTGTTTAAATAAACTTCGCTTTTTTTCACAATTTTTTTGGTGTAGATACTAGAGACAGAAGCAGTTAAGACTAATGCTTCTTTTATTAAAAGATCCATTGGAATCCTTCAAATTCAAGAAAGAATTGCATTGATAGACAGCGAAACGACATTGTTTATAAAAGGTAATAAACGATCGATACGGATCACAGATCATAAAGCACGGGCATAAAGCTAAGTTTTATCGTTTTTATATCATTGTACTATCGTGTATTTTGTTTTCTTTTATTTTTTTATTGCATGATATTTGTAATATCACGAATTTGTCTCTGTTTCGTTCCGGTGTTTCGTTCCGATGTTTCGTTCCGGTGTTTCGCTGTTAAGCAGTGCCCCTCACATGGGGTGACTGGGATTTTTTAAAAAGGGTTTTGGTTTTCCTCACTTAGAAAAAAAATTCAATGGCAGGCAACTTTGAACCCTGCACCCTTGGCACCAAATAATACTATAATGCCTATCCCAACTCTAAACCTAACCACTCACCCATGAAGTGAATTTGCTTGGATGCTTTCCAATTATTGTTGTCATATTTAAATTTATGCTTCATTATTGTATGCACAAAAATATTTATTACAGAGTGCAAACAATTAATCCATGAAACACTAATTACCGATAGTACAAAATAGTGCTAATTAAATAGAGAACAATAGAATTTGCATAAAATTGCACTATTTAGTATCACTAAAGTTTCACGGTCATAGAGAACAAACACTAAAAGTGTGCAACACTTTGCACTATTTAGTAGTAAATAATGCTAATTAAACAATAGAAAACAATAGGATTAGCATAATTTAGCAGTATTTAGTGGTATTTATGTTGCACACTTATAGTGCTTGTACTGTATTGTTTGCACTCTAGTATAATATATGCTACCTTAGGACATGACTAATGAATTTAAATTGAATCCCTCTGACAATATTCCTGTACACCACTACCAGAGATTGATGGGGAATGTTTTTTATCACACGCCATTGAAAATACTGATCAGTACAACATGGAATATCCCACTTGTCAAGTGTATTTTCTTGTATTCTCACACAACTGAAGCCTCATGTAATTTATACATACAAGTGCATACAGAATACGCCTCATGGGATATTTCATGGTGTCACTTAATAGTTTAACTACTGTGTGGTAAAGGGTATGGACATAAGTGTATAAACAAGTGTCCTCTCACTAGGTACAAAAATGCATTGCAGAGGAGAGAGACAAAAAATTACGAGCATATAAATCAAAAAGGATTTTGGATAATTTTATTACAATGATCGGATATTTACATTTTAGATATAAAAGACTACCCTATGCATAGTTGAATGTCATTATGTGGAGCGCAGTTGCTGGCTTGTGGCCCCAGCTTTTTTTGGCATTTTATGGGATGAACCATCTTCTACTTCTTTGGTTTTGTAATAGTGAGGTGCCACTTCTAAAAGCCATGAATTTTCAATCTCAATGACCTAAAAATGAAAAGAAAAATTAGAAAGTGTACACACAAAAAAAAAAACGTAAAAAAAGAATAATTTAGTACATCCCCAGATGATGGATTGATGACCCAAAAGCTTAGGAAAAAATAATTGTTAATAGGCCTAATTTATCTAGGTGCAATGTTTGCCCATTTCAGATCACGTCATTCCTTTTAGTATCAAAGAAATGGCAAAAGCTACTCTAGGGAATTTGACCTGAGGACCCACAGTACTTCACTGCTCCAATGCTCCACTCTGTACAAGTATGAACTCTAAACCATGGTTGATCAATTAGTGCTTGGCTTCCTCTGGTTTGTTCCTCCCTCCTCTCAAATCAACCCTAACTAATTCAAACTGGTTAGAGCTGTGCTCCAGGGTCACACATGGACTGTATAGCGGCTGCCAGAGGCGCCTTCACATGCTTTCAGTTCGACCCTGTTGAGCTGTACCACTGCTGTACTTGCGGTGGTGATAAGCTATGACAGTTTTTTTTCCATATAAAAATACAAAACCCCCTTTGTAAAGTCCTGGCAATGGGCCTGTAGGTACAGGAATACACTTCGTCATAACAGATATAACTAACCTGTCGCATGTATTCCTTAGTGGTGAATACAAGTTCATGATAGATGAGCCATCGTGGTTGCTCTTGAAACAGACTACTGTTAGGGTGGATCATAACCGTCTAAAAAACAAACAAGACAGAGTCCAGCCATTACTGCTGCTACAAAGTGACAATAAAAATATTGGACCTTTGGATGACCTAAAATAAAGTATAGAGGACGCCACACAAACTACAACTCTTCGGAATGATAGTTATCGTGCTATGATCACTGTGAGTCCATCTAAGAGTGACCTGTTATGGTATATTAGGGTGTGTTTATGCATGCTTTACTGAGGACCAGTGTATCAAAGCATTTTATTGTTAAAACACGTCACTGCATGTTGGTCACTGATTAAAAGAATGTTGGTTCTTGAGAAATAACTTAAAATAAGCCAAGTATTCAATTTATCCTGGAAGTGGTCGCTATTCGATTAAACATAGAGGTTTGTAACGATGAATTAGGAAAAGGTTGTCACACCACGAACAAGGTCTATATAGCATTCTTGAATAGTACTATACACCCATATGTCAACTAACCTGTTGATGTTTCACTGTTCTATATTGACCACCTCTACCAAGCCGAGCTGTGTGGTAGAAATATCCTGCTGTTATGGCCTGTAGAATCAAATCAAAATCACATTAAACTGAAATGATTTTTTTCCGCCATAATTATTGGAATTTTCATTCCTTTTATCCAGAAACACGGGATAATTTGCTCTCAAAATTTAAAACATGTATATAGAATTTATGCAGTCTACATCCCTGCTACATTGTAAAATACTAGAGTAGAACTGGGGAATTTGTAGAGTGCATACCATATATCAGTAAAAAGTAAACTAATTGCACAAATTAGTATAAAGTTTTCTAGGTTTACTGAACTTACTAATTTGTGCAATTTCTTACACAGTTTTTTACAGATATAATCATTTAGTATAACAGAGTCGATAGCCCACTTCCAAGATATGCTTCACTTGTCACACATAAAGGTTTTAGTATGATGCTACATGCAAAATTCAATTTAATCTTTTCTCCTTTCAAGAACCACTGAGCATTATGCACCAAGCCTCGCATTAAAACCTTTATGCATGACAAGTGAAGCATATTGTGTAGTTCCAAAAATTATCCATACCCCCAAATGGAGGAATTTTTTAAGACACCCCCCTACCCCCAGGAAATTCCAGTTTTCTTCCATACAAACTCTGTAATTCTTGTTCTTTCTCTGACCCCTCTACTCTTTGGAAATTCCAAATTCCTCTGTGGGGTGGGTATGGATGATTTCTGGAACTACACATTTCGGAAGTGGGCTATAGAGTTGCATCTTTGTTTCTTTTCTGGTTTTCCTCCCTCCGCTAAATTACCTCGTTCCCAACGGCATTCGGTTGATACAGAGCCACTTTGTAGAGTTATTAAAGTACCACTACTATAATATTAATATTATTATGATAATATGATACCTTTCTTATGGATAGAGCTTCATGAGGGTTAGAAGTTAACTCTATTTCCACCCTCTCAACGAGCCCCTCAAGCTGCTCCCTGACGTCTCTAGCTCTCTTCATCGAGCGATGCTGAATAAAGTTCTCAAAACACCACTGAGTAGAGTAATCTGTCTCGGCCCATTGGTCGTACACATTTAAGAGGGTTAAATGATCACCACCAGGTCGGAAGAAATTCATTCTAGCATTATCTGCATGGACAATCTTGTCCTTTGGCCGATAGAAGATGGCGTTATTGACAGATAACATGGCTATGATGGTTATTATCTGGTCAACACACTTGTATCTGTCAAACAAATAAAAATGTATTGAAGTGTTGATGCATTTACGTTTCGCAGCTATCCCCTAATTAGTATGTTAGTAAACCACTATGACTTATTGAAAGCCTTAAAGTTTATTCTGGTAGTAGAATAGAGGCTTTGCACCATCACGTGATGGCAGCCATGACAGGAGGCAGGAACCATTGAATCTGGACTAATCTCGTTTACATGAAATTTTAATTTTCCCAGGGGGAAAAAACTCTCGTAATTGTGCATCCAGTCATGGCTGCCATCACGTGATGGTGCAAAGCTTCTATAAAATACCTACTTTTCAGAGGCAATCAGTGTCTTTGACATCATTGGATCCACAGGAAATTCTGCCATCTTCCTGCCAAGCTAAATGATTATGATATCATGTAAATATTGCCAAAAAGATAAATAGTATGAAAGGAAAAGTCATAGGCGTCAACAATCAATTGACATGCTTTCCCTCCTCTCTCCAGAAAACCCTTACAGTATGTGAAAAAAATTAAACTGTCAATGGTACATGGTAGAGAGTGGTAAAAAGAAGCCCTAGATACACCCCTGTAAGATACACAGTAGGAACAGTGTGGTAAAGTGACCAGGATTATAAAATTATGTAAGTTGCAAGGTAGAAAGACTTCCAGTAATTATTGTAGGGTTTTCAATAGCGGCATTTGTCCAGTAACCAGCTATATGACAGTTGGATGGTTCTAAGGGTGAATGGTACAAAAGTAAAATTGTTTGTGGGAATAGAAGTGCAGTTTATTTAACTAGGAGGGTTTGTACATCCGTAGTCAATAGAATAAATATTAGAATGATCAGGACTGAAAATAACAGCTGGTCTCAGCTGGCCAATGTCTGACTAAATGCCTCTTAGGCGGTTCCTCTTAACTGGTCACACTGACTGGTCATTATATGTTGATCAGTCCAATCTTGCTGGTCATCATATCTGGTCATTGAGCAGCCATTATTCTCGGACCTGAATGATTAATAGAGAAGTCAGTTGTCCTACCTTGGTAAGTTCTCCATGGTGGTTAAGTGCTCCCAGAGCGTACAACTGCTCTAGTGCAAGAATCAGTGTTTCAGCTGGAGGGGGGTCCATGAAATCAAAATGGATCAAGTCATTGATACCCAGACTCTTCAACAACAGTACAACGTTTCCAAGGTTTGTCCTCTGGATCTCAGGGATGGTATTATCTTCCAGTTCATTCTTGTATGCCCAGGCAGTGTAAAGTCGGAAGCATTTACCAGCAGCAACACGGCCTGCACGGCCTGCACGCTGGTTGGCAGAGGCCTACAATACAGAAAGAAAGAAAACAGAAGTAAACCTCAGGTATGAATAGATATTTCTTTTCAGCAATAAAGTCTAAAGGTGCAGACACAAAGTATGATAAGACATGGCATGCAGCATTGCACATCCGTGTGACACCCAAAAACAGCCTTTTCATGTATTATCACAGGTGATGTTGCATCATGTGTCCGCACCTTAATACATGTAGTTGTTCAAGTTGTAATCATTACAGATGTCAATAATTATGTTTCATTACGCTAATTTTCTTTTGAAAAAGAATTATCCACATTACAGATGTAAATTATGTTTCATTAAGCTAATTTTCTTTTGAAAAAGAATCCAAGCTCCAAGTGGGACATTTTTACAAGAAAAAGTAGCTTGACGAACCACAATTTTTACATCTCATATAAATTACCAAGCACACCTAAATGAGATAATCATGTATTATGAATTGCTAGAAAATTAGAGCAAGAAATTCTGAGAAAGGAAGAATGTTCTTACTTTAGAAACAGGTGTAACAACAAGAGATTCCATTCCTGTCCTTGGATTGTAACTCTTCTGTTTACAGAAACCAGGATCGATGACATAAATAATACCATCTATCGTAAGAGATGTCTCAGCAATGTTGGTGGCTAGGACAACCTGAAATCAAGTGAAATAGCTTTTAGGTTTGGACCCATTGTATAACATATCATACTGGGAAATAAATATGTGATTGAATGATTAATAATTGTATAATTGACTGACTGATTGATTGATTGACTGACTGATTGAATGACTGACAGATTGAATGACTGACAGATTGATTGAAGGACTGACTGATTATGACTGACTGACTGATTGAAGGACTGATTGATTGAAGGACTGACAGATTGATTGAAGGACTGACTGATTGAAGGACCGACTGATTGATTGAAGGACTGACTGATTGATTGATTGACTGACTGATTGAATGACTGACAGATTGATTGAAGGACTGACTGATTATGACTGACTGACTGATTGAAGGACTGACTGATTGATTGAAGGACTGACAGATTGATTGAAGGACTGACTGATTGAAGGACCGACTGATTGATTGAAGGACTGACAGATTGATTGAAGGACTGACTGATTGAAGGACCTACTGATTGATTGAAGGACTGACTGATTATGACTGATTGACTGATTGAAGGACTGACTGATTGAAGAGCTGGCTGATTGACTGACTGATTGACTGACTGATTGATTGAAGAACTGACTTATTGACTGATTGATTGATTGGGAGGATAATAGAGTAGATTTCCTTCATGTGAAAGGGTGCCACATAAAGCATTGTCATAGTGCAAAATGGGTGGCATTCAATGCACCAATCACAGCAAGCAAAATCATTGTTTATTCCATTAAAATACTTGCACACAGCAGTATCACAGTTACAAGATCATTCAGGCATGGCATTCCTGAAAACTCACAATACCTTTCTAGCTCCTGGAGGGGTGGGTTCAAAGATCTTGGCCTGAAGGTCTGACGGCAGAGTTGAATAGATAGGAAGTATAATCAGTTCTTTGATTTTCGAGCCAAGTTTTCTGGTTCTTTCCTGTAGCAACTCTTGAGCTGTTTCAATTTCTTCTTGACCAGATAAAAAGACCAAGACATCGCCATCTGGTTGAGTGACATGTATCTGTAATACCGTTACTACTGCTGCGTCAAGATAGTCTGCTTCTGGGGCCTAGAAAGAGAGCAGAATCATTCTGTTGGTAGAAGCAATAACCAGTTCAAAATATGCTTTCTCGCTTCTGTATTGTTCCATAGCTACCCTCTCCCATTTCTCCTTTCTTTCTTCTCTCTCTCCTTCCCTCTTTCTTTCCTTCCTCTATCAGGAAGATAATAAACGATTTCTAGAAGAAAAAAACTTAATAAAAGATTTTATTTTTCCTGAAAATGTAAATGACTCGCTTCAACATTAAAGTGCAAATGAACCCTTTGATTATACTTTCAGTACTGATTCTACATGAAGTAAATAGTTGAATGGTAAAATATTTCTTGATTTGAGTGATGTGTCTCTATATTATGAATGAATATATGCTAATTAGTGTGACATCTATTAAGGCTTAATTAAATATACAAAATTGAACTGCTTCATAGAAACAGTATTTAAAAAGCATCATTATTTTACTCATGGTTGACATGAAAGATATTTCAAATTTGTATTTTCAATATGGCCAGCATGTAATATTACTAGTAACAACAAAAAACACTCAAATACCTGACGTCATCATCATTAACATGTTGGAAGTATAAACCTTCATAACTTAGAGACGCATCACTCAAATCAAGAAATATTTTACCAATCAACTATTTACTTTATGCAGAACCAGTACTGAATGTATTGTCAAAGGGTTCATTTGCACTTTAGAATAAAATAATACAGTATAGTTCTGTTATCTAAAACCTTAAAAACCTGAAACTTCCACTTTAATTAAAATTAAGGCAGCACTCTGTAAACATGCATCATTGCAATTTTTTCCCTAAATATCTTTAAACTCCATCATTTGAAACCTTTCCCTGGTCCTCAGGAGGTTCAAGATAATGGCCTTCCAATGTAATTATGACACATTGTGCATTATTTCAAAAATTTACCTTGGTGTAATAAATATCTACTGGAAACCGGCGACCTGGTATTCTAAAGATTGGTGCGTCATCAAAGAACTAAAAATCAAACAAGAAATAAAAAATGACATTTCATAAAAAGAGACAATAATTGCTTGATTTCAATCAACTGATAAAAGTCTTTGAAACTCGTTATTTGTTGCAAATTGTTCCAAATGGTGGTCAAATACTGACTACCAGGTTGTGCTGTCAGCCAGAAAGTATTTTAATGAAAACTTGTAAATGGTATAGAACTTCTCTGCACAGGTGTAATGTTTTCCCATTTCAGACCATGACATGTCATTCTCTAGAGTATCATTATTTTCTTGGTTAATAGTTGCGCATGAGAGGACAAATGAATATGGATACAACTCAAGCAGATAATCATATTCTCAAGGAAATGACAAGTGATCTAAAATGGGAAAACATTATGCCTGAGCTAAGGAGGTCTATTTACAGGGTGAAAAATAACGACTGGTCATCAGACAATGTCTGGCCAGAATTGGAACTTGTCCGTTTAAATCTTTGCCTTGTCTTCTTGACCATTGAGCCAAAAATTTAAAAACTGAGCTAAAACTAATCTGGCCAGTTATCATCATGATAGGTGACTGACCATATGTATTTTGAGTCCTGTATTTATGTCAAAACTTACAGATGAGAACTTGTCGGCATCTAATGTTGCACTAGAAATAATAAGCTTGAGGTCTGGTCTGAAGCGTGCAATATCTTTAACCAGTCCAAATAGCACATCAGTATGTAGTGTTCTCTCATGAGCTTCGTCAATTATAATCACACTGCAAGTGTATATATTCTTTAGTATTTCGTTAATGTTACTGTTAACCTGGACTGCAATGAATGTGTAAAGATCTGAAAATTCTAGAATGGTAGCAAAGCATAAGTTCACTTGCTGTCACTTCTGGGGTCTCAGGTTGGATTCCTAGACTCTCCTTTGATTTGAGGGCTTTCCTCCAGGTTCTCTGGTTTTCTTCTCTCCTGTCTCAAACATGACATGCTAAATTCCAGTTTGATATGTAATTAAGTTAACCATACCCTGGGGCAGATCAAGGTGTTGCCACTCCCCTGTTGCTCAAATTTCTCAGAATGTTCGTTAGTAAGCTRCCCCTATTCCTCAAATTCCTTGTAAAACCTTTGTAATAGTCACCCCCTTCTAAAATTCCTTGATCTGCAACTGATGTCCTGATTTTGTTCAGCCCAGAGTTTGTTTAAGGGCATGAAGAAATTCAAAAATAGGCAGTTTACCTGTAACTTGCCAAGTCTGGCTCCCCAAGAAACTCCCTCAACAACATACCATCTGTCATGTACTGCAAAAAAGAAAAATTCAGACGAATCTTACATACAGTGAACCACAATTACTGGACATTTAGTGGGTAGCATGGGTGGCATTCGCAGCTAATGCGTTGTCTTTCACCGCTATGAGTCCAACAGGTTGGGTTGCTGGTTCAAGCCCTGCATTCGCCACATGTGAATTGAGTTTGTTTGATGTGTTGTTCTCTCCTATGCTACAAGGGTTTTCTCCGGGTTCTCTGGTTTCCTCCCTCCGTAAAAATCAACATGTGAGTTGAGCGTTGTGTGCATAGAATATTGAATGTAGTGATAGTGCGTGTGAGCGAAAAGTGTTCCCAATTAGTGCGAAAGCACTAGAACGACTAGACACTTAAATAAAGATATTTATTTTTTACTTATTTCTTATTCGAGTTGTTGCTTTTTTTTACTATTCATAAGATGGATCATTCATTATTTAACAGTAATTACTCTACCTTGAGGATTGTTCGTTCAGAGCAACAGTCTTCAAATCGTATGCTGTAACCAACTTCATTACCAAGCTTGGTTCCCATTTCTTCTGATACTCTTGCAGATACGCTCATGGCTGCTACACGTCTGGGCTGAGTACAACCAATTCTCTTCTTATCTTTGGTGTAACCCTAAAATACTCCAAAGAAAAATAACCAGCTATTTTAATACATTATGCCTCATGGATACACACTACTTCAACAATGTGATAAACGCCATTTATAGTCAATTAGTGGACAGACACATGAAAAACAGGTAAATTTGTTAAATTTATTAATTTCAGACTATTTTCTAATGACCAAATATTGAAAATATGTGGCTTGTTGAAACACAGGCCGAACTTTATTTACGTTTTTTCCTCATTAGCATAAAAAAATTTCAAGCTACAAACAAACAAACTCCAGAAATCGAAAGAGAATATCTTATTTAGCTACTACTGAAAATTGGAGAGTAATAAGTTCAATATTTTGGGAGTAAATTTTTTTGAAAACACTATAAATTACAAAGAAATGTTTGGTTGTGTGGCAAGTCTTGCCACACGACCATACATTTCTTTGTAAATCTTACTGCTTACAGCTTGTAGCTTGAAATTTTTTTATGCTAATGAGGAAAAAACGTAAATAAAGATTAACTTGCTCCAGGCTTTCTTCTGTTTTTCCTTTTACTGAGTATAGTATAAATGATTGTTTAACTTGTAATGTTTGAAAGGTGATTGTGTTTTTAGTGTCTGAAAAAACAGACATCACCCCTGTATTGCACATTTCAATTTAGGGAGTTTTCGTATGACTGTGAAAAAGTCGGAGCCATATGTGTGCCTTGCCATGACTGTGATGCGTTCTAGAATTTTGACTGGGGATATATTTCTCCCGCAATGTAATTGGCCAGTTTCTTGATATTGGTCTGACAGTATCCATGCCGTTTTCCTGCAATGTTTCTGGCACTTGACTGGATGAAGAGTAAATTCTCAAGCAATGTGATTTGCCCGGGCGTATGCCTAACCATGTCACAACAGTGTTCATGCGGTGAGATTTTCACACTCATACAAAAAATGCTCTAATGTTGCTACAGGTAGACTGATGTAGTTGGTTGATAGTTTCTTGTCTTTTGGACTCTGGTAGTCAGAAAGACAGCCCCTTAGATATTCCAGTATACATACCGCTTCATGTAGGTACTGAGGTATTTGAGTTGTTTTACCAGATCCTGTTTCTCCTTCAATAATTAAAACCTGTATTTAAAAAATAAAGCAAACATGGCGTCATTATAGTTTTTATCATCATTATCAACAGCATCATTGTCAACAGCATCATTGTCAACAGCATCATTAGCATAATCATCATCAACAGCATCATTGTCAAAAGCATCATTAGCATAATCATCATCATCATCATCAACAGCATCATTTTCAACAGCATCATTAGCATAATTATCATCATCATCATTATCGAAAGCATCATTAGCATAATCATAATCATCATCATCAACAGCATCATTGTCAACAGCATCATTAGCATAATTATCATCATCATTATCATTGTCAAAAGCATCATTAGCATAATCATCATCATCATCAACAACAGCATCATTGTCAACAGCATCATTAGCATAATCATCATTATCATCATCATTGTCAACAGCATCATTAGCATAATCATCATCATCATTGTCAACAGCATCATTAGCATAATCATCATCATCATTATCATTATTGTCAACAGCATCATCATCATCATTAACAGCATCATCATCCTTATTACTATCATCGTCATCATCATCAAAATCTTTATCATCATCATCATTGTCAACAGCATCATTAACATCATCAACAACATCAACATTATTAATTAATCATCTAATCTCACTGCTAATGTCATCTAGTATTGGTAATGATTCTCTTAGTTTCTGGCATTGCTAGGAAATGTAGTTGTCATGATGAAAGCATAATGTTACATGTTCATTACTGCTAGAAAGTGTTTTTGATTACCAGTAATAGGTATACCTGATGATCAGCAACGGCTTGTATTAGCTCATCTCTGTATGAAAACACAGGAAGGCTCCTTCGGACCTAACAACATCAACATATACTCGTATTAACAGGGCTTAAATAATGGCCGATCAGTCACTGGTCATGATGACCGGCCAAGTTAGTGTTAGCTTAGTCATACCTCATTTCTGGCTCAATGTTACTGGTAAACAAATAAATAAAGGCTGTTCATCAGACAATGTCCAGCCAGAATTGGAACTTTTCTGGTCAAATCTATGTCTTGCTGGTCATTTTGAAATGACCAGTAACATTTAGCCAGAAACAATGCATGTCAAAGCTAAAACTAATTTGGCTGGTTATCATGACCAGCGACTGACCAGCTATTATTTCAAGACTTCCTGAATATATATATAATTATGACTTTAAAATTACTAATTAAAAGTCACTTTTTATTAATTTACTTACCTCTTGAATTGACTGTCTCTTTCTCTCAGCTTCTGAAATTTGTGGCTCCTAAGTGAATTCAAGAAAACATACATTTTTTATGGTGAGTACTCATGTCAGTTCAAAAAACTTGCATTTCTTAATTTGCTCTGCATCAAGAAATGAAGTCAAGCTCTAAGCAATGAATTGCTGGCAAAAACAACCTTGAGCCTCAAATATCTACCGATTTTAAGTTTGAAAAAGCTATGTTTCTAATAATATAACATCACATTTTTATGGCGCATTTGAGTTGATCCCACAGGAAAAATGATGGCCTATCAAACCAGAGCAAAAATAGCCAAACAACGACATTTGCACTTGTGTGCCTTCCTGCAAGTGAATGGCAAGTTTTGACAGGTCTATAAGGTTTGTGCTCAAATTGAAATGTGTAGTTCCACAAATTATCCAACCCACCCCACAGAGGAATTTGGAATTTCCGAAGAGTGGGCAGGTCAGAGAAAGAACGAAAATTACAGAGTTTGTATGGAAGGAAATTGGAATTTCCTGGGGGTAGGGGGGTGTCTTAAAAAAATTCCTCCATGGGGGTGGATGGATAATTCTTGGAACAACACAATGCGAATGCCAGTAGCATTTGGACTAGTTAAAGCTTTGTCTACAATGTACAGCACAAAATATGATGGATATGATATAAGTTATGGATATAAAATATTGAACTCAGTATAATACAAAAACAGGAGAAACTAGTTTGTTAGCCCTTTGTTTAATATCAAGAAGAACACTGAAAATGTCTTACTTTTGGTGTTTTTGTTCCTGGAATCTGCTCTGCCATCACAAACCCAATTTGCTCATCTTCTATAATGAAGTCATAATCTGTAGACTGAGATTTTAAAAAATCAGTTAAATTATCTCATGTTATGAATATCACACTCCTATTTCTCTTGGGGGAGGGGTGGGGATACTTTGATTTTTGTTCGACTATGGCTGTAATGAATATTCCACTCCTATTTCTCTTGGGGGAGGGGTGGGGATACTTTGATTTTTGTTCTATGGTTGTAATGAATACCCCCACTCCTATTTCTCTTGGGGGAGGGGTGGGGCTACTTTGATTCTTGTCCACTATGGCTGTAATGAATATCCCACTCCTATTTCTCTTGGGGGAGGGGTGGGGCTACTTTGATTCTTGTCCACTATGGCTGTAATGAATATTCCACTCCTATTTCTCTTGGGGGAGGGGTGGGGCTACTTTGATCCTCATTCACTCTGACCGTAATACATACTATGGTACAGTATACCAACCTTATTTCTCTGCTTAGCGTCCTTAGCACCAAACCTCATCTGTGCATATCCCAGCTTATCCTCTTCCCATTTCTTCTGTTCATAGTTAGGTCCCTTTTCTTCATCAATAATCTCATCATATTGTGAAGGTTCTTGTTTTTCTTTAGGCATGCGATAACGTTGTACTTTTTCTATTTCCCCTGCTTTTTTGTGTTCTAATGCGTATGATAAGACTTTCTTTTTGTAATCTCTTTCTTGCCTTTCTCGTCTGCTTAGCTGAGTTTCTTCAAAGAGATATTCTTCATCTTTGATGTCTTCCTGGAGCATTTCTAGTTGATCAACTTCTCGTTTCTTGATGTATTCTCTTCTTGATTTTTGTCTTAATTCTGGAACCTAAAATTTTAGCAAAATAACATAAAATAAAAGGAATTGATATTTCAAAATACTCTACGACAAAAGAATCAAACTTAAGATAAACAACAGAAGGTTTTCAATAGAAGCCAGCAGCTGTCAAATCTTGCTGGGTGTTTGATATGAACTTTCTGCCTCAAAATTTAAGGAAAACGTGAGAAAAATTCACTCGCTGTTCCTTCATCACATTGTGCTGCTTACTCAAGCTGGTATTGAAAACCCTGCAGTCTACTCAGATATATGCTACTCACCATCTTTTTTCTGTCTTCTTCATCAAGCTGTAACCTTTTCTTTGCTTCTTCAAAAGCCTTGATAATGAAAAAAAAGTTAAAAGAGGACAGCAATATAATAACAACAATATAGGGTGCTTCTGGCTGTAATTTGTTATTCACCACATAGAATACTGTGTAATGTTCGGATATAAAGAACCCCTTAGGATATTATGAGCCCTTGGTGTGATCAACCTCGACATCACCTATACACAAGACCAGCTCATGGAATTTATTAGTCCCTAGGCTACTAATGAATAAGAACTGTAAACATGTATTACAACAAGAACTAACAAATATAGCTCAATTGACCTTTTCCAAGTTCGACAAACAGTACATTACATGTACAATCTGGTCTAGAATAGGTACAAATACACTGTATAATGCATGGTGAATAAATTATATTTGTACCCAAGCTAGACCAGAATCCATCAGGTTTGTTATTTTTGATAAGGCCAATGGAACTAACCAAGCTTGGGCAATTCAATATAACTCCTGGGTAAGCTTATAACCCTCTTCACAGGACACCAAGGTCGATTTTTGTGTCAGTATATTACATTAAATGCATACACCGAATTGAAATATGGCAGCCAATGTGAATAACTTGACTGACTAGCCTTATGTTCATGAAGAAACACAAAAGCTTTTTCACAAGTACATGTAGAAGTTACGTGTAGAGTCTTGTCATTCCAGAACAATATTTATATTCAAACTGGTTGCCAAATTTCAATTTGGTGCATGTGGATGGATAAATGATTTTTAAAATAAATCTCATTATTTGCTAACGCCAAATTTAACAATGCAATCGAAGTATTTTTTGACAAAAATAGCGTGAAAGGAATATAAATAAAAAACAAACTTGAGCTCCCTGTGTCCTCTCCCTAACTCACCTTTCTGTCAGATTGTTCAATAATATTTCTTTGTTTATCTTTATCTTTTTCCCTCAACCTTTGCGCAAATGCATCCCTTTCGGCCAAATCTTTCTGTACTTCCTTTTCCTCTTTTTCCCATTCGTCTTCTGAATCATCATCTCTACGAGCACTCTTCGTATCTCTAACGACTTCTTCCTCACTTGAGCTCGATTCTCCTTTCTTTCTCAAGTGTTTTCTCTTGCGTTCCGATTTAGATTTTTTCTTCCTGGATTGCTGCACCTCTTCCTCATCGTCTTCATCATCGGACAACATTTTGTAGTTACTAAATTTCTTTTGCTGTTCAATCAAGGCCATCTCCTTCACCCTGTAAGGATGAACAGTGGGTTGCTCCTTGTGTGGTACCTTCTCCCACAGCTCTCGAGCAAATGCAACCATCTTTTCCTCATCTCCGAGGCTCTGTGAAATCTTCTGCACCATAGCTCCTGAACTGCTAGAATCCTTGGCTAAGTTTATAAGGAACTCAGTCGTGTGTCTGTCAGAAAAACCAAGAACATCGTGTAGTTTTTCTGACACCCAACTCGACAGATTTGCCATTTCTTAAGGTGCACAAGCCACGTTAATAACGTTTGTGGTAAACTTCAAGTTATGATATTGTCTTTGGATAGTAATTGAGTAGTTTGATGGTTTTAAAGCGCAGTATCAGCTCGATAAATAAACCCGTTTTCTTGTTCGATTGTTGCAGTTCGAGCAGCCATCTTGGATTCAAGCCAGAACTGCATTATGGTACTGGTTACCATTCTTTTGACCACAGGAAGCCCGCATTTAGAAATAATTCTTTATAAACTTGTGCTAGTTTTCTGATTTCAGACCACTTGTCATTACCATGCAGATAGTTTAATTGTTCTTTGCTAACGCTTGAGAAAATATGTTTACGCACCTAAACAAGCAATCTTATTCTTGAAAGGTTACTGCTTGAAATGGGAAAACATTACGCCAAAGTCGAGAGGATCTATTTGATAGGAAGCCAATGGGTGCGGTTGTTAAGGACAAGCCGGACATATTTATTCTAAATTTTCTTTCGTGCTCGCCGTATTGATACAGCAGCATTTCCATAAAGTTTTTCAATGGATTTTTGCTCTAAAAAAATAGCCTCGTGTAAAGGTGATCTAAGAGGCCAAATGCTCATTTTCTTCGTTAACAAAGAAATACAACAACACTGATAAATATCTGAAGACGGCCTAAATAACGCAGTAAAAGTACTCAGATCGAAGGGGGAGTACAGTTCTCGTGATCCACGCGGCTGAAGAGGGTCCTGAAGCAATCTCGAGTCCAGGGTCTTCCGACATTTTTGTCAGCGACCTGGCACCAGGCGCTGACGACAAAGCAGGAAGGCGCTGGAGGACTCTGGGTACGAGATTGGTCCTAAAGAGGTTTTAAGACTATCGAAGCTCACTATCTATTGCCGCATCTTTGAGCGAAGACACTATAATAGTTCTTCCAGGTAAGAGATGGAAATTGTATTTTTCGTTCACTTTTAACAAAAGTACTGAGAAGTATAGTGGGGTATTGCATTTAGCACCGTTGAAGTAAATGAAAAGGAATGCATACAAGTACAGTGGTTTAATTGCTCAGTGCGCGGCGCTCGTTTGCTAACTAGCTCATAGTTCGAGGCATGGATCATAAAATGATTGTCCTTTTATGATCCATGTTCGAGGTCATGTTGATATTCAGTGGATATTGTTTTGAACTTCTCGTTTCTAATCTTGTTGTAGCTATAGTTTCGAGTATTTTCGAGACGCGACAATGAGAAAGGGGGAGGCTTAAATGGGTATTAAGAAAGTAAAATGAGTGCACCGATTATTTTGAGAGCGAAGAGAAACAATATTTCCCCTCCCTATATGTTTTATGCTATTATTTTCTCCCTGAAGCCTAATGTTTTCGGCCGTACCCTTCGTAAAAAACGAAAAATCTCCCTTTTTATACTGCCTTAGTCTCCCTTCTTCCTTACAGTTTACCGTTGCTTCTCCCTCAAACTAAAACATTTTAAATAACAAAGTAGAAACACGGGAAACTTGTATTCAAAAGATGTTTTTTTTGCAATTGATTGAAGTCCTTTGCATAAATTATCCAGCGCTGGCTGATTAAATATATACCTGAAATTACAAGATTTACGACAAACAAGTTAAATATTTTAAGTGACCTCTCAGACTGACTGCTTTATCAGTTTTTATTCCGCAGTAAAATGAGTCTCTACGCGCTTGTGTTGACGCTTTGTTTAGCTGTGTTCGTTCTTCCCGCCACTAATCCGGCGTGTGGCCAGCAAAAGAATTCAGCGAAACAGGTAGGAAAGCTAACGACAAATCTTTATGATCAAGAATAGTTCTGAAAATTGAAAAAAAATCGATTCAATAAGATAAGTCTTGTGAATGTTTTTCTTCATGTCATATTTTCAGGACGGGTTAGATTTTTCTTGTTTGGCGGGTCGTCCGGGCATCCCAGGTCTCCATGGTAACCGGTGCTCCTGGCCGAGACGGACGAGAAGGACGACCTGGCATACCTGGTAAACAAGGTTCTAGTGGTATTCAAGGACCTCCCGGTTGTCCCGGTGCACCAGGCCCCCAAGGGCCTAATGGCGCAAAAGGAGAAGCTGGGGCAAAAGGAGATAAGGGAGAGCCTGGGGCGAGAGGTATTCAGTGCTATTCAAACTGGAAGGAATGTTCCTGGGATGCGTTTGGTGAGTCCAAAGACAACGGACTCATTAAGGTATGAAATGTGCATGTCGTCTGTTAAGTTTTACCCCAATAATAATCCCTCTTCTTATTCAGAAACCGCTCTAATTCTTGACTGCAGACTCGTCTGTACAGGTTTAGCCTCGCTTAAGAGTAAGTATCTTAGACCTTTGATGGTATCTACGAATAGCTAACTCATAAACCAGTCCAACCCTGTTAAACGAGTCTATGGTCATGATAATTGACTTTGTTTAACTTTGTTTATAGAGGATTACACTCGTGGTCCTCTTTTAACGTCTCTAGTTAATTAGGGACGGGACCGCCATTAACGTGATCATCCGAGCCACGTGAAGGTCTAACCATTTGATGTAATTACAAAGGTAGCACCTTCTCCTCAGTTATTTTAAGACCCTGAGTGTTGGTCCGGCTTGAACAACGACCTCCCGCACAACATACCGACGCTCTTACCAATTGAGCTAGCCGGGTGGTGGTATATATAATAAGAAAGAGGTCTGTTATTTTCAGGAATGTGTTTTTCACAAGAACTTCAACGACTCTTTCCTCCGTGTTTACTGGAATGGCAACTTCAGGATCTACAATTGTGACAGATGTTGTAAGCGCTGGTTTTTCACCTTTAATGGTGCCGAATGTCAGGTCCCTCGTGCAGTAGACGGCATCGTCTACATGTTCAAAGGCAAGGGTACCCAAGATCTTCACCGTGTCCGCCATATATATTGAAGGTCACTGTGACAAGATCCAGAGGGGATATGTCCGTGTAGGGTTCAATGTCGGGAACTGTGTCGGATTCGGAGACGCTGATGCACACACCGGAGATGCTTCAACAAGCCGATTGTTCATCGAAGAGGTTCCCAGGCCCCAGCAATGAGATATTCACGCGTCTCCAGTCTTTCCGAGTATATCATTCAGTATTTAATCGCATAATGAAAAATGGGTACTGATGACCGCAGCCAAACATTTCAGTTAGCAACAAAGTAACTAAAACGTAAAAATTATTTCAAAATACTGTAGAAGGAAATAAAACGCAAAATATCGCAAAACTTCCGTATCGCTTGTACTTGGTTATTCACTTCTCAGTTTCCACATGATCAGTGGGCAGTACAGAGGGTTTACGGCCAACCTCCAAATCCCCCAAATAACCTACCCTTGTTCATTCTTGGTTATTTGGGGGATTTGGATTAACTTATTAACTTATTAACTGAAGCGTACGCTTACATAAGCGGTCACGAGGCAGGTATAGGATACAGTAGTTCGTTACGTACGATTGGACCGTTGGTCACAGCAGTATTTTTGGCGTATATAGACGGGAAAACTGCCAGAATAAGTCAGACCAGCACATAACAGAACAGATGAGTAACAGTTTAAACAGTTTCTAACGGCTAAAAAACACCAATATAACGGAGTCTAACGGCTAAAAAACCACCAATTTTTGCCCTAGCGCCCTTGGTCATCTCCACTTTCAAACAAGTTTAACTTTCTGAATAACAAGATTTTAGCCTTGTTTTTTGCCTAGATAGTCATTATTTTGAGAAAAGATCCAAAAACCGTGTTTTTGAGACATAATTTGTATGGGCTCACATGAGCATGGGGGCGTGAGCTTGAAATCGTAGCTGACCAAATGTTAACAGATTTTTTCTGATGAACAAAATTAAATGTCCCAATGTTCTCAGTCAGAATCAACAATCAATTTTCCTATTTTTCTACCATGCATCCTTTGTTATCATATTATTTGTCAGAAAATCAGCACGGAAATTTTGCAATAGTACCCAGAAGTCTTTTACGGCACCACCCACTAGTCCATTGCGGGCATATGATATAGAGATCCAAGTGCAGTATAAATGTTCTTGTCAGCAAGCTTTGCCAGGAAAAGATAGGAAAGCATAGCTCTACTTTTCGCGGATCGATATTGCTAACATGACTGATAACGTCTGATCGAACTTATACATGATTACGAGCAACCGACTAAGAATATTTTTTTCAGTAAACGGATTGCCTTATTGCTGAAAATTTAAATCTAATAAAACGGATTAAATAATAAAAAAGAAAAAGAAAAATTTTATGAGGATAAAATAGGATTCTAAACCACCTAAAGAAAGTCAAAAAATACGATTCCACTTTGCCATACCCCCGAGACATCCGCAGAGCTGAGGCGGCGTATGGACTTCGGACCTGACGGCGATTAAATCCTTCTGCCCTTGAGTGTACGAATTACGCAAAAAAATGTTCTAGCCGAAGCATCAGGGGAGAGACCAGCCAGCCCCCAGACCATATCGGCTAATCCCTTGCATCTCTGCCACGCACGGAATCGGATGAAAATATAATGTTAAAAAGTCTAGTCTATTCGGTGCATTGTTTTCACGGCTATTGTTATGCTGATTCACCTGGAACCGTGGTCCAGTGGATAAATCGTAAGAGATACTAAGTCAAGCTCGACTGAGGAGGGTTAGCACTTGGATGGGTGACCTAAACATTATACCTACTCACGATTTTGCTCCTTTTTTCCCATTTTCGTTTTTGATCTTTAAAAGAATAAAGTATAGAATAGTGAAACTTTTCTATCTTTGAGAAACCTATACCTGTCTACCCAAATCCGTCAAATTGAATTCCAAAACACTTAATGGCCGGCAGTTGTTCGTTGTTTCTGTGCACAATTCAGATCATGTGATGTCCTTCTTGGGAGTTGATTATTCTTTTATAAGTGAACAATTCCTAAAAGAATGTCATGTGATCTGAAATGGGCAATTAGCATACGAAGCAAAAAAGGTCTATTTCAACATGCTCTTTCCAGCTTTTCTAATTATCCTTCCATGCTGTGAGGTTTTGAAATCACATGATAAAGGCTTACTGGAGAAGTGAATTATTACGAAAAAATGATTTTATTAAACAAGATTGTATTCAAATTAGTTTCTAACATTTCCATGTCACAGTGTCTTAGGGACATCAAGAACAGCACATTGTATCACAGGTAGCCCAAGCTTGGTTTCTGTGTTGTCCTGTTATAAGGAAATGTATGGGGATTCATCAAAAAAGTCAATAAAATCATTGAAACGTGAACTAAAGCCTCGAAATTTTACCCGATCATTGATAAAGAACACTTCTTTCGCTCTGCGTGGTTATTTTTTGAATTTAGCCCGTTTTAAGATTTTTTGCTAAATTCAAAAAATAACCACGCAGAGCGAAAGAAGTGTTCTTTATCAATGATCGGGTAAAATTTCGAGGCTTTAGTTCACGTTTCAATGATTTTATTGACTTTTTTGATGAATCCCCATACATTTCCTTATAACAGGACAACGCAGAAACCAAGCTTGGGCTACCTGTGATTGTATCCATGCACAGGGGTAAGGCAATGCTACAGGTGACATACTATACACCATTTATTATCATAATCGTCATAATATTCTATGGTGTTTGTGCTGTATCATGAAGTAGTGTCTTAGGGACATCAAGAACAGCACATTGTATCCATGCACAGGGGTAAGGCAATGCTACAGTTGACATACACCATTGATTATCATAATCGTCATAATATTCTATGGTGTCTGTGCTGTATCATGAAGTAGTGTCTTAGGGACATCAAGAACAGCACATTGTATCCATGCACAGGGGCAAGGCAATGTCACAGGTGACATACACCATTGGTTATTATCCTCATCATAACATTCTATGGCGTCTGTGCTGTACTACATTGTATCCATGCACAGGGGTAAGGCTATGTTACAGGTGACATACACCATTGATTATCATAATCGTCATAATATTCTATGGTGTCTGTGCTGTATCATGAAGTAGTGTCTTAGGGACATCAAGAACAGTACATTGTATCCATGCACAGGGGCAAGGCTATGTTACAGGTGACATACACCATTGATTATTATCCTCGTCATAATATTCTATGGTGTCTGTGCTGTATCATGAAGTAGTGTCTTAGGGACATCAAGAACAGTACATTGCATCCATGCACAGGGGTAAGGCAGTGTTACAGGTGACATACACCATTGATTATTATTCTCGTCATAATATTCTATGGTGTCTGTGCTTCGTCGATCAGTTCTTCCTCCAACAATGTACAACTGGTTATCAATACAAGCCATGGCAGACGCAGCACGAGGCATCACTAAACTACAAACCATTTGCCATTCTTTAGTTTCAGTGCTGTACACTTCACAACTGTCCAAAGCCGTTGGATTCGTATCTTGATATCCTCCAACCACCAAGATCTTCTTGTTGGCCAGTACCTCTGCGCTGGCATACTTTCGATGCTCTCTCAATGGAGATATTTGTTTCCACTCATTTCCATCGTTGGGGTTCATCTTCTCGACGACGTTTAATGAATCATTGTCGTATGTGCAGCCACCAATGGCATAGATCTCTCCTTCTAGTGCCACAGCACAAAGAGCTTTGCGAGGGAATGTTAATGACGCTGCTCTTTGTACCTGGTTGTTGGAAGGGTCGAAGCAGTACACCCATGACACAGTTTCAAACCCATTTTTTCCTCCGATGATGAAAATTTTACAATCGAGACAAACTCCAGCAGACGTGATGGCTCTTTCGGGCAAGTGAGCAACGGTAGACCAAGTGTTACTTCTAGGGTCGTAACAGTCTATGCTTTGTGATCTTTTCATTCCACCAATAACATAAAGACTACCTTTACATGCCACAACGACGTGTTCTTCTCGTTCACATTCAGAAGGCTCTAGAGCAGTCCAACTTTTATCAATAGGGTTGAAAACCAAAGTGTCTTTGAGGACTTTACCTCCAGATATTCCACCAACAACTACTAGTCCTTGGAATTCTTTTCGTAGACACTTTCTCGGCTGAATCACTTGTACTATATCGTCACTAGTGCTGGAAAAAGTTGAAGAATGTAGTCTCTGATGAACAAGTGATTTGCAAGTAGGGCTTTGCCTGACTAACGGCTCATTCTCAATGTTATTGATGATAAAATCTTCTGGCAGTGAGGACAAACGAAGAAGGCCAAACAATCTTTCAAAATACGGTTTTCTTTCTTCACAGCCATTCATCCACAAAAGTATGGCTTTATAAACATCTTCTTCGCCATTCACCACGAGGTCGTCATTATTTATGATACCCTCAAACTGGTAGCAATCCAGAGAATTAAAGTCTTCATTCTCCAAAACTGATACGAAATTTTTAAGAATGAATCTCTCTGTTTTGGCCCTAAGCACTGGACAATTACATTGTAAAGCTAGCGTATAGATCTTTATGCAGGTCACAGATGAGAGAAGATGTACAAGATAGTCAGCACATTGTTCTTTGAGTTCATGGATGACCAAATAGTCAGCAGCTACCAGCAGCTCTATAACGTTAGCTTCGTTAATATCAGTTTTTCCCGTGTAGAGAAAGGTTAATAAATCATTAACAATTGACGAAGAAACCTCCAAGTATATTTTTTCGCTGTCCTTCTCTATCATTGCCGTTGTAAAAAGAGCTTGGAAATAATCGCTTGATGCTGCTAGTATTCCTTTGTGGGCAGCAAAATCTGTCTGTTCTGCTGTGATGGTCACATCGCATAAAAGTCCTTGGTGACGAAAAGTGTTCATTCTTTGTAATACCCTTGTACAGAAAGAAGCTTGGGGGTCGTTGTATTCAACGCTGAAATAAAATGAATCAGTATTTGATGGATGTTGCGAGCACAAATACAAAACAGCGGAGTGTGTGATCCTTTTGCGAAAATGAAAACATGAATCTATTGAATGAAGTAAAGCTTGTCGTTTCTTTTGGATTAGTGATTGATGGCTGTGAAGTTAGACAAATCGACTCCAAGAAAATGTAGTGTTTAACGAAAACACAACAAAAACGATAACTGACAAACCATCTTATAGAGGGTGAACAAATTAGATATCACCATTAGTTCTCCTTTCACTCACACACACACTCTCTACCACAAAGAATACTATGCGTACGACTCACAACTTACAAATTAATTTTTACGGAGGATAAACCGGAGTACCCGGAAAAACACCATTGCGACAAGGGAGAGAACAACTCCTCAAACACACTGTATATTTCATCACTTTCTGTTCACTATTTCATACTTTCGCTTTAAGTCACGAAAGCGACAAATGCCGTACACATAATAATAACGTAAGGAAACTAACCTTGACGTAGTCTTGCCAGGGAAGGACATCGTTCCGAAAAATACCAAGGCTCTAAAACAGCTATAGAATTGCTATTGTAGAATAAAGAAATGTTAAACTTGTCACTTGTTTATCTTGTTTATCTTTTAGGGGACTTATATAGGGCTAACCTCAATGTCTTCCTTTTCAAAATATGTAATCTGCATTTTTTTGAATAAAGTATTATTAAACGTTAAATATTAACATTGCGTGACTATTATATCATAAGGAATCGGAGCATGTGAGGTCAAAACAGATGGGGGATAAAATAGAACACGCAATCAAAACAACTTATATCCACATCAAAACATTTAAAAAATTACTACTTTAAGATGTCGATAAGCTTCATAACAGTGGGTAAAAGGAAGAAAACTTGCCGTATTGCGTGTAAAAGTTGTTTTCAAGGTTTTCAAGGCTGTTATAGACTAGTGCTTTCAAACCACTAACATGTGCTAATCATCATAACAGGGTATAAATACTCTTGAAAATGACGTACGGAATATGATATCCAAAATTCATTGGATGTATATTATCTAAAATAATTCCCACATTCGAAAACCATGCTGGCTAAATGGAGTATTTTCATTCTAAAAGAAACTAAAATCTTACTGGAGAAATTTGGTCTTAAATTGAGTGCGGATGATGAGTCGTAGCAAAGCAAAACAAAATAAAATAAAACAACAATAAATGAACAAACTCACGACCTTTGAATAAAATCAATAAATTATAATATTGGTCAAGATTGCGCGATACTTTTCTACCTTTTTTTCATTTATTTTATCTAAACAGCTTTTCAAGTTATCTCGGATGTAAGGGTAACACAGGAAATTGCAAACGAAATCTCATCTTTCTCGATGGAATTGTTCCTGCTATTTTCTGCGTCTTTTCCTGTTAGCCTCACAAATACAAAATAATTTTGAAAAGGGTCACGGGTGGCAAAGGGAGTATTCAAACGTTTCACGACATAACCTTAGGGCATACTCTCATCTCTTTAAGAACCTGGTACCCTGCAGTGGTTAATGTTAACTCATATTTCACATTTAGAACTCCGGCTCGTCTTTGGTTGAAGACTGCCAATCATTCAATGAGACAAGAACCATAGAATCATTAAATCATAGCTTAGATACTGATGTTAGAATCCTGTGAGTTTTGCAGCCTTTAAATTTCAAGTAGCCTAGTATTTCTTCTTGATTGTCTCAAAATATAAAGAGACGCTGTTGTGTTGTGGGGTGACGCGTTAGACGATCGATCGCGCAACATTCATGTTGGAATGATAAGTTTCTCTGGTTTACAGAATTTCTTCAGTTCTTATTATCTGGCTACTACTAACCTCGTAATGTTTCAATTTGCTGTCCACAGTGATTTGATGTGAATGACCGTCGTTCTTCTTGCATCAATATTTACCGTGATGATCTCCGTCTTGCCTGCAACAGTATCGTGGCCGCCGAATTCGAAACCAGCTAGCGATTGGTTAAGCTGTGTCACGTACCATGCACACGATTTTTCCGAATTTCCGGTCTGGAGTGATAGATAAGGAGAATCGTATTTCCTCGCCCCAGTCATATAATCTTTCACTAAAATAGACAGAGGTCTGGGACGAGCATGAAGCTTGACGTAACTAAGTAATCTTGTAGAATCCTTAGGCAGCCCAAACATGGATCTATAAGGGAATGTATCAGAGTAATGTCGAAAATATGACAATAAAATGTTGTCAGTCGTTGCTTGTACCTCGTTCAGTGTTCTGGCGAAGTTTCGGTGCGATTTGATCTACGAGCAAGGACTGCAGCAAGTTTTAAATCATATTATATACACTTATTTCAATCAGCTAGTCAACAAAAACCTAGACTCTTCCACAGTCTCTCGCTCATCCATTCCGTCTCCACGCTTAGAGACTGTAACGGTACAATGACCGAAAGGACTTATGGGTCCCCAAAACTTGGACCCAGCGTACTTTGGGAACCAAAATACTCCTCCACAGTCTCTCTCGTTTTCGCCGCCATCTAGAAAATATTGAAACGAGAGAGACTGTGGACGAGTATTTTGGTTCCCAAAGTACGTTGGGTCCAAGTTTTCGGGACCCATAAGTCCTTTCGGTCATTGTACCGTTACAGTCTCTAAGCGTGGAGACGGAACGGACGAGCGAGAGACTGTGGAAGAGTCTAACAAAAACCTAGAAAGCTGTGATCGCTGAGAATCATGGGAAATATTTCATATTCAAAAAGTAAAGGTTTTGACACAAACTGCAGCAGTTGAGGATATGCTCAGAGGAGGTGATACTGTAACTGGTAGAAGATCTCAAGTCGATCAACAGTTATCAAGCGGTTAAAACATGTAAAATGTATCTACCCATAATCCTTGTCGGTCTCAGCTTTGTAGCTTTTTCAGGTGACTAACCGTATTGAAATAAGTGTATAAACTCTTACGATACATTCCCTCATACATACACAGGAACCTTGTTTGCCGGGCGGCTTTCAGCCTCCCCAACTGTAGATTCCCTGCGCTAGCAAAGTCTCCCTCGGTGTGGATTCTTGGCAGAGAATCGCCAACGATGAAGACTCCGTAGCAGGAAACCCCCAACCCGATTATAAGCATATCCGTCCACAGCAGGGGCGTATCAAGGGGGGGGGGGGGGTCACAGGGTGCCCGTCACCCCCCTTTCAAAGCCAAAAAATTTAACTGGCCGTTGATGCAGTGTGTAAAGATTTGGTTAGACTTAACTTAAGCAGTTAAGAAAATCAGTTTTCTCGCTTTTCGGAGCCGTCTTTTCGTTTCGTTTCAAATAAAAATCGTTTAAATTCGAAATTATCCAACGGGCTTCCTGATCAAGACTTTCCATATATGGCGATGAACATGACCAAAAGCAAAACGCCCGCAAAACCTCACACAAACCTCACAATATAATAGATTGCTATGACATCATATTGACGTCATATGACGTCATAGTGACAATTTGGTATGTGAGGACCCCCCCAATTACAAATCCTGGATACGCCCCTGCACAGGTAATCCAAGCTAGGTTCCTGTGGGTTCATGCTATAAGAAAATGTATTGCGGTACTTAAAAAGTTCAATACAATCGTCAAAATGTGAAATATAGTAAAGAAATCTTAGCTGACCTTTGAAAAGTAGTACCACTTTCGTTCTTGTGTCCAGTCGGGAGGAAGCAAACGTTAAATGCGGCTTAATCCTGAAATCCTAAGTACACATAGTCCAGACGCTGTACCCTCTCCTTTGCCGCTCCGCTTTTGTTTTTGGGCTTCCTGTGTCGCGGAAGGGGAAGGTCCCTCCCCTTCCGCGACACAGGAAGCCCAAAAACAAAAGCGGAGCGGCAAAGGAGAGGGTACAGCGTCTGGACTAAAGTACACAGGACGAAAGAGGTAGAGACGAAGGACGAAGAACGAAGAGACTTTTCAAAGGTCAGCTAAGATTTCT